TAATCCTGGCTTGCTAGCTAGTTTCAAAACATATGGTTAAACAGGGGATTAGCTATTGGAGGAGTTTGATCTGTGTACTGCCACAGTCAGCTGGAAGGTAAATAATTACTGTAGCTTCTACAACTTGCTCAGGGGCAGATTTGGTTCTAAAACAACTTTATGTGGAAAGCTGCTGCTGTGTAAGCTGTGTAAGAGTGTCTAATCATAACTTTGGTTTTGACTGGAATCTCAATTTTATGTACTGTTTGAAAACACATCAGAATGTAGCACAATGCATATCTTATTTCTTTGATTTATTGAGAACAAAAAATCTACTGAATTCTGTGTGTGTGGTGTTTTTTTTGTTTTTTTTTTTGTTTTGTTTTTTAAACCACTGCTAGGTGGGACTGACAGGATGCAGGATGGTCTGGCGTGTTAGTTCCTTTGAAGCCACTGTTTGTAGTCATGTTTGACGCAACTTGTCTGTAGGTCTTATTCTTTCTCTTCCTGATTTATGCTGTTAGATCAACAAATGTTCCGGGAAGCCATGAGGGCCAGTCGAGTCAAGAAGCCCAAATGCATAAAGGCCTTTCAAGGAGAAGTCAAGCTGTTGGTGCCGTGCTTAGCGTCCTTCTGGTTGTTCTCACTGCATGCTTAATAATCTTGCTCTTCTACAAAAAAGAGAGGAGGTAAGAAATAATTAAGATGCTTGTAAAGATATTTTTGACTTGGTTTCCTCATCAAAAGGAAATTAGTGAACTTGGGAGAGTAAGTTCTTGTTTTTCAGCTGACAGCATCAACTGTCAAACAGCTACTGTTTGTTTCCAAATTTTCCATTACTATCTGAAGGCTCAGGTAAAGAGGCGTTGACTTGGACTAATCTCTACTGCAGAGAGCTGTTAAGGGGAGTGAAACAATATGGCCATTCGTATGCTACCCACCACCTTCTTTCATGGTGTCAAGATGGATCCATACAACAGCAACGAAGAACATATGCAAATAATGCTGCTTCTGTGCTTTCCAGGGGAAGATGCTTTTTTTCCCTATAGGCTTTAAGGCCGAAGGTGTATCAGAACAGTCAGGCTGAAGTTGTGGTAAGCAGAAAGATGTACAACGTTATGGACTGACTTTTGCTTATTAGAATGGTTCCTGAATCAAGTGTGATAGCATACAGCTTGCTTGGTAAAATGCTTTGTTGATGGCAAAACTCCAGTGAAGAAAGATGAGGGCTGTTAAGTGGGATGCAATCTTCCTAATGCAATATTCTTCCCTTTCTTTAGGGAAACTGTAATAAACAAGATAACAAACTGTTGCAGAAGAACATCAGGTGTTTCCTACAAATACACAAAGGTAATATAGTGGTGAAATCAAAGGTTTTTGCTTCATGTAAGGTTTCCTTAATATGATCTTTTTTTAATAAAGCTTAGTTTTTTTAGTACATGGGGATTAAACTGTGTAGCTTCAGGAAAGCCACGTGGCTGGCTGAGATGTCTAAAACTGTATAATGAAAAGGCAAAACAAGATAGAGTTGAAGAAATGCTGAAAAGCAGTCCATGAATAGCCAAATAAGGTATAGAGCTTTAGGAGAAGGCAGCTGTGGTTCAGCCATAGTACAGAATGGCTGGAAGCAATAGTAATATACTGCAAGAATGTGCTGCTGTTGTCCAAATAAGCCCAAGCCCCTGTATGGGATGGGTCTGCTAATTGGAGAGATCAGTAGTAAGTAGCAGAGTCTAGAGCACTATATGCAGTCTCCTCTTGCATCTTTTTCTTTCAGATAAACAGTGAAGAAGAAGCTAACGAGCATGAAACAGAGTGGCTTATGGAGGAAATCGCAGCACCAAATCAAAGAACAGCAAAAGGAGGGCAGGAAAATGGTCACATTACTACCAAGTCTGTTACATCTGAAGCCTTTACGTCTCTCCATGTTGATGACCTGGACAGTGAGGATGAAGTGCTAACAATTCCAGATGTAAAGATTCAGTCAGGAAGAGGACTAGAGAAGAGCAAGCACCCACAAAAGAACACACCAAGCCTTGGCAGTGATGACAAAGCTTACTTGCTGAATGGGGGAAAGGACAGGAAAGCAAAAGCCAAGCCAGGCCAACAGCAGGCGCAGAACTCTAAGAATACAGTATCATTTCATGACGATAGTGATGAGGACTTGTTGAATGTTTAATAACCTCCTCTTGTGCCTAATCAAATATAGAGAGATTATATGTAATGGGACAACACTTCCAACCAAATATGAGGACTTCAGCGTGAAAGTTTTTTCTGAATTTTGCCTTTAACAAGAAACTATTGAAAAGGGAAGAAGAGAGATTTCTTGGTGGTTTACAATGATCTGTTCAGTAAAGACTAGATTTCTAACATCTAGTTGGCTGAATTGTGTTGACTCTCTCTAGCCAGGACAGTGTTTTTTGTTTGTTTTTTTTTTTTTTTTCCTTTAAGCCTCAGCATAGACATTAAATGCTTATTTAAGAGGAACCTTTCAAAGGACAGGATTAAAGCTGAATGAAGCCCATGGCTCCTGAGATTCAAGTTATCTGACTACTAGCATTTTAACTCCTTGTATTTATTGATCCTCACTACTCAGGTTTGCTTAATAGCAACATGTTCTTCCTGCCGGCAGGGTATTATTCTAGGGGTTCACCCATGGTATGACAAGGAAAAACATAACTTTTTGTGTTTTGGGATGATTTGATGTAAATTTTAGAACTGGTCTAACTTATCCTGTAAATTTGAATATCCGTTCTAATTTAAACAGATGATTGATTCAAAGGTTTTGACTGAAAGGTACAACTCTGTATAGCTTTAGCCTGGAATGGTTGCTGTTCTTTGCATGATATTTTTGGTACTGGTTATATGACCGACTTCTCAGCATTTGCCTAAGCAGCTGAAAAGCACCCAAAGATTTTTTTTTTTCTTTCTTCCTAGATTATGGCTGGACTCTATTTTCTGTACGAGAATCAGTTTCAGGGCCAGAGAGGCAGAATTCCTAGCATGCAACCTACACTGCCCAGTTTGTCGTCACCAAGAAAACTCAACTAGAGGAGCCTTAACCCACACAACATCTCTCTGGTACAAATTGCAAGAAAAATTTTGGGCCCGAGTTTCCTGATAATATAAGTTCAGACACATATGCTGAAGCCCTGGCTGTGGTCATTGACTTGAAATGTTACTGGTGATGAATGGAAGTCAGTTTTCCTCTGGCAGTCCTGCTTCTCGCCAGGTCTTTCTGGAATCACCTTATGGGCAATGATATGGTTTCAAAGAATTGTGCAAGTACATACTTTGGTCAGAATTTTGAAACCCTTCATTATTCCTTTTGGCTTATTCAGTTTCAACAGTAGTTTCTTTTTATAAAAACTCCATTTTGAATCAAAGTAGTGTAATATAAAGTATTCAGCAATTTCAATAAAAGATATGAAGTGGGTATTCCAAATCCCACATCTCAAGTCTGGGATCTTTCTTGTACTAGTCTTTAGCACTGTTCATCAACTTGGTAACCTCTTCTGCTGCTGCCGCAGTTAATATTCTAATCAAATTGCTCAAAAGGAGAACTGATGACAAAAATCAGAATATAAAGATAAGGTGCAATAGTGCATTTTTTTAAGATTAATTTTTTTCTGTTACAGGTAAAGCCTTAAAACAGTTTGGCTACAGCTGCATCTTCTCATATTTAAAATCATATTTAAATGAGTAGTCTTTTTCAGAGTTAGCATTAGGTTATTTGGGGAAATGAGAGGCCTGACAGTATGTGTCTAATTACTGTCAGTTCCTGTTGAAACAGTTTCCTAAATGGTTGCTGAAGAGCACTGCTTCCACTCCCCAAGTCTCAACGGCTTACATCTTGGCATTGTTGATGGATCAGTGTGTGGCATGAAATGACTTCTATACAAAGACTTTATACCAAATGGCCTGTTTATTGTGACTCTGTGCAATGATGCTTAGATAGGACAAATGTATTCTACCTGGGAATGTTTCTCTTAGCAATATCAAGGAGATATTTGTAAGAGTATGCAGCTGACAACAGTGAGCAACTTAAATGTCTAGTTTTGGAACTGCTGCCCATGTGTAGAGAGGCATGTGTAGATAAGATTTAGTCAACCTGTCTTGTACAGAGCTGGATGCAGAACTTGCTTCAGGAGATACTTTCCCAGTGGAATACTTAGTTTAAATACAGGGAGGAAAATGTTGAAGAATGGTGGAGACCAGGAGAGTACATATGAGTCGAACCCATGACTGCATGCGAAGACTTCAGCAGCTTCTGGATGGTAGATTCTGGGCTGGATCCTGACATTGCTGGTTCACCAGGCAGCTTCCTCAGAGGTGGGAGCCTGTAGGACAACTGCACAGCACAGTGCTCATGACTGCTTCTGTGGGAAATGAAGTGTCGCTTACCTCTTGCCTGGCATAGGGAGACGGTAGTGGGAAATCACAAAGCCCAGTCTAACAATTTTTTATTGACTTTAAACTAGTGCACACAATCACAAACTGTTTAAACAAGACTACTAGGAAAGAAGTGGTGCAAGGTTATGTGGTGGGTGGGTGTGTGGTGGGGGTGGGGGTTGTTCTTTTGTTGTCAATGCTCACCTTCCAGGCAGGCTTTTTATTCCCCCTCTGTGGACCTCCTGCAGCCAAGGAGGCAAAAGTCCAGTGGTGGTGGTGGCTCCAGGGAGGTTGTATGCTTAGTGCAAGGTAATGCTGCTTTAAACAGTTGCATAAGCAGAGTTCTTGTTACTCTGCCTCTGCGGTGTGTGTTTGGTTTGTTTGCTTTTTTTTTTTTTTTGTAGGCAGTAGGTCTGTGTATTGCAAGGAATGCTCTTGGAGTACTGGTTCACAAATCAGTTTTTACAGCTGGTTAGGTCATAATTACTCTGAAGGTTAACAGAGTTTTCAGTGGCATATTATTAGACCAGGTGAAGAACTAGTTCTGGTCTCTCTTGCTTCAGAACTCTTATGAACTTCTGTGGTTTTTTTTTTTTTTTTGGAGTATATTGTGAATAGTTCTTCGTCTTTGCATAGTTGCTTACGCTGGGCAAGTCACTTTGCAGATGAATTTTTTTTGTTTTCCATCTTTAAATACTGTCTTCATTCATGCTTTTCCTTCTGATGAAAGCTACTGTTGTCAGCAAAAAGTATTGGAGTAGCTGATATCCATTCATAGACAGTATGAAATACCACTGAAGCCTGATATGATTCTGCTTGCTTTCTTTTTGCGTGCCACAAAGAAATCTGCCTAAAGTCTTACAGGTCTGCAGTCAGAAATAATTGTCTTAGTCTTAAATACGGGTGTATCATGGCTTCCCAAAGCTGTTCCCAGTGCATAATTCTATACTGAATGCTTTTAAATCTTGTTGTATCCCTGAAATTTTTGATGAACAGAAGTAGGGTCAGATAACACTTTTCTTTCCTACTGTAAGTGGAGGAGGGTTTCTTTGGAAAAGGGGGTGTATGCAGACTAAAGGTGGTTGCTGAGGTAAGATGGTCAGCATATGAGAGCTTGTAGAACAGATGTTCCTCCCCTGTAATAAGGCTCAGTGTGGGAATACTTCTGTTTCCCAGTGTACTTAAATATCCTTTATAGAACCTCATTAATAAATTTTGTTCATACATCATACCCAGCAATTGCTACAGTAAATTTTTCACTTGCTTGTTGGTAGAATTTTCTGCCTATGCTTGCTTGTCAGACTGCTGCTTGTCCTCAAAGAGTTGACTTGGCTAATAAGAAACATATTGCTCTGGCTGTTAGCTGCTTTCCTGGAGAAAAGGAGCATATGCTCTCTGATGAGGGGTTAAATGCAAATTCTCCTTGGGTGAATCAAGGTTTGACTTCAAATGAAACCTAAAAAATAAAGCTTGCAACACGTAGTTTAATAATTTATGGAGTTAGTCTTGACTTTTGGTCAAATGTCTTTGTTACTTAAATAGCTTTGCTGCCAACTAAATGTATCAGTGCTGTGCAGAGGACCAAGATAAGTTTTTGAGGGGGTTTTAATGCAAGAATGCCGACCTTCGATGAAATCTTGGAGAACGTTGGAGAATTTGACAGGTTCCAAAAGCAAACCTTTTTTGTACTGTGCTTGCTCTCTGCTGCCTTCACCCCTGTGTATGTGGGTGTCGTCTTCTTGGGGTTCATCCCTGAGCATCGCTGCTTCAGCCCTGGCGTGGCGGAGCTGAGCCATAGCTGTGGCTGGAGCCTGGAAGAGGAGCTGCGCTACACCGTTCCCGAGTGGGGGCAACGTGGTGCCTCTTTCGCTAGCCGCTGCAGGCGCTATGACGTGGACTGGAACGCAACAGGCCTCAGCTGCACCGACCCCATCGCTGCCTTCCTGGGGCACGGCAACAGCAGCACTGTCCCCCTCACCAGCTGCCGGGATGGCTGGGTCTACGAGTCTTTGGGGACATCTCTTGTGACCGAGGTAAAAATAAATGCCTGTCTTCCACTTCCCCTTCATCACTGACTAGTTGAAGGACGTGGAAGACATCTGCAATAGCCTGTGTTTTATTCATATATAATATATATATTTTTTATATATATATTTAAAAAAATACATATCTATATACACATTTGCTTACCTGGAGGCAGTGATCCTCTCCTGCTGTCAAACTATACAGAAAGCCACATAAAATATTTCCGCTGTCGTCTTGCCGTGATGTACTGCCTTGTTCTGCACAGAAGCTTTCACCTTCAGCTGTGGAGCAAAATGTATTTCTGCAATTAAATCACTGTTTAGATGAAGCCTGATTTTTGAATAAAGCGCTAGTCACATGAGAAATCCTATTTGTGGAAGTGTGTAAACATCCCTCAGTGTGTGTTAGAAATCAAGAACTTGTAACACTCAAAACAAAACCGGCTGACTTGTGCGCGGGTGGATTTCAGAACCACACAGTCTTTCTGGGACCTGGGCCTAAACTTTAACATCTGTGGGTTTAAGTGTTAAAGTTTGTTTCAAATATGATTAAATGATTAGGGATGGGGGAGAAGTAATCACCTCTCACAATTAAGCAGCTTATTTTAAAAAGAAATTGTGGAAAAGTCAATGGCTGTCTTTGTTCCAAGAGCACACGCGAAAAACAAAATGGTACCTAAGCTATTGAAAGTACTTCAGGATTTTAAAGACTTTTAGATGTCTAAAAAATTGGATGATGAATGATTTCATCATAAGTTCAATGGGAAGAAAAACTGACCCTGGGCACCTCTAAAAATTTAATAGAACTTGCTAAAACAAATGTAAGAGCAGTTAAAATTAAAGGTTCTAGTGATTTCAGCATTTATAACTTTAGGTTTGAATGAGACTTAATGGAGGGTTATTTAAGAAAAAGAGGAAAAATCAATGTCGGTGAAAATGGGTGTATTGTATGTGTATTTCTTATCACAAAGTATGGACTACTTGATATTAAGGTAAGGAAATGAACCACCAAATCTTTTCAGGCAGTCTTTAATGAACACCTTTCAAATGGAGGGTGAAGTAAGGCTTTTACAAACCAGCACCGCAACAAACGCTTTTCAGTCCGAAAGGCTCAAGCAAATGCCCTGGTCCACATGGCTTGACTGTGAATCTGTTGGGATTGTCTGAAATAGCCAAAAATGCACACAGAAGTGTGCAGTGCTGCTTCTGTCATTTATCCTGTGACGTAAATGATCTGAGGATCCTACATTACACCATGCTGGCTATAAAGGAGCAAAGACTTTGCTAGACTACAACAGTGAGAATTCACAGAAGCTGGAAGTTTTTCCAGTGTGCTTTGTGTCAGGCTGTGGCCATGTCCATTCAGGCTGTTAGGCTCTTCTGTATTGTCCCATACTCTGTCCTTTGCCCTGCTTCCTTGCCGGTGCAGACTAAAGCATGTGGCTTTGCTCAGAGGAAAAATTTACATGTGGAATAATATCCTCATAGGGCTGATGCTGTTTTTGCATGGATCAAAGATGCACAATTTTAAATCCAGCTTACCAGTGGGACAGAAAGGGATTCTCAGCCACTTGAGGATGGCTTTTTAAAGTAACTTATTCTCAGGTAACTTTTTTACTTGCGTGTTTTCTCTAGTAAGGCATAAGGACTAAGGCCAGATGGCAAATACCTGTGGTAAAGCTTTGCTGTAGCTGTGAAATGCCCTGTTTCCAGATAAATTAGGCTATAAGACTTTTCCCTTGCTTCCAAAACCCTGCTGAGTTCGTTCAACTCAGAAAAAGATGCACAGTAACTCGTACCTCACTGAGGGAGTATGGCATTACCGGTGCTCCACTGAAAGCGTGACAAATCAGGCTTTTGAGAGCATTTACAATACCCTTTGAAATATACCATCCTTAATCCTGAGCAGTCTTGTAGGAGCTGTTGTGGCAAGGAGATGAGGCAACTAGAACTGCTTAGAAACGTTAACCACCGGCCACATGGAGCTACATGCGGTTAAGGAAGCCCAGGGTGATCGACTGAGTTTGAACAAGGCATAATGCATGTAATGGTCTAATTTTGGCAAGCAGTGACTCCGTTATGTTCTTTCCAGTAACATAAGATGAGATGTCAATGGGAAATAGCAGAGAACTGCTCAAAAAGCTTGATTCTGTTTTTAATGTTGGACACAATTATATCAGTAGGATTCCTGGATGCTGATAAAATGGATGTCACCAGAGAAACATGTTTAAATCCCAAACTGAAGCTATGGAGACTTGTAGGTGTGAACTAGTTCCTGATTTCACTGTTTTGCTTCTAACTGTGGTTGTTGTTCTAGTTTAACCTGGTGTGTGAGGACTCCTGGAAGCTGGATCTCTTTCAGTCATCTGTGAATGCTGGGTTTTTTGTTGGCTCTGTAAACATTGGCTACATAGCAGACAGGTATGTGTGGGATGACAGTAAGACCACCTGATCTCCCTTATCAGTGTCCAGCAGTTAAGTAAAGGCAGAGAAAAATTGTGCAACTGGTAGTATCTCTGCTCTTTTCAAATTAAGGTAAATCATCTAGACATTAACTTGTGGTCTTAGAAATAAGCGCTCTCTCTCTCATTCTTGAGTGACCAAATCGTATCTGATAGCTTACATAAGTACTGATCTTTCCTGCTCCCCAAGTGCTGCAGAACTTGTGTTTTCTGCAAGGTATTTTTGGATCATGCAGGCAAAAGTCCTAATAGTCCCACAAGAAAATACTGGGGATGTTAACAGAACCAAGGAAATTCTAATTTGTAGCTTTCACTCAGTCAGTCATGTTCTGTACCGCTATGACTTGGAAATACTTGGTTTCCCTCTGGGAAACTTTTGTTTAAGTAATGCACACAGAGATTGCCAAATAGGTACAAAGGCAGTGCCGGTTTGGAAATCGCTGTATGTCCTGGCATCTTAGCACCTCGTTCAGAACCAGCAGGCAAAGTTGTCCTTTGGAGGATCCACAGCGGGATGCTTGCTCTACTTCTGGCTTGCCAAATGGCAGGTGTGTGGTCGGTAAGAAAATCAAACTTGTCTAGGCAGTTTAGGTTAAAAATAAATAAATGCCAATATTTGAAGACCACCTTCTCCCTTACTTCTCTCCTGTCTAGAGACTGTTAGTACTGTATGGTCTGTTCTCTAGCTGTGAAGTACACCCCACTCAGGGCAGAATCCATGAAAAAAATATCTTTCAGGATTGAGTTTCTTGTATATAAATCTGTTGCCTCTCCTCCACACAAATATAACAGAGCCATAATATTAATTTGCACAAATTCATCACCTTATGCTAAATAACAAATTACTAAGCTGCCTATTCTGGAATTTGGAGATAACAGCCCCCAGTCCAAGTATATGTAAAAGTGGGCCTATTGCCCAGCTGCTACTGCGGAAATTTTTCCTCCTTCAAGCAGCCTTGAAAGCCTTTGTGGAACTGCAGAGCAGTTGCCACAGTAATTTTTCAAGGAATTGAAAAGCAAGTGAGTGGGGAATGGGCTAGCAATGAAAGTTGGCATATGTCCATGCCTTGCAAAGTTTTTGTATTTTTTTTTTTTTCTGATGATGCACAGGTTTCTTGATAGTTTAAAACACCTGTGTCTTCCTTATTGATGTTTCGCCTTGTACGTATTATCTTCCATTCCAGGTTTGGCCGTAAATTTTGCCTGTTAGCTACAATACTTGCAAATGCTATTTGTGGAATTCTTCTGTTCTTTGTGCCTACCTACCTCTGGATATTGATCTTCCGTTTCCTGCAAGGACTAGTCAGCAAGGGCTGCTGGACCGCAGGCTATATCCTGGGTGAGTTTAGATCTTTTCCCAGTAATGGCTACAGAAGACAAGGAGAAAACCTGAAAAAAAGCCATTTAAGAAAAATGCCTCATAGTTTTTTTGAAATCATATATACAAGCTGATCTCAAGGAACATTCTTTGTCTTTGGGTTACTAGGATTTTTTTTTTTTTTTTACATACTCTTGTTTTTCCCAAAACACAGAAGCCTTCAAAGATCAAACAAGTGATAGTAAATTAAGGCTGCTACCTTGTAGTAGGCTGTCCCCTGTGGTGCAGCTCTCCTTTTGCCAGACCTGAGCTCCTCTCCCACCCATTGGGGTGCCAGCTGGGGAAGGAAGGCAGACCCTAGCACAGGCTGCAGCTGCCTGGTGCCGACTTTCCAAACGAGTCACAGATGAGGTGATGACAAAGGAGGCCATTAAAGAAACGTGGAGATTAGGGAAAATTGAATGCACTTTTATAATATAAAGAGCAATAAAGGGCAAGCAGAGGCTTTACAGGCTAAAAATAACAGAAGAACAGTATGTTCTTGCTGAGAAAAAGACTCAAGCTGCTTGAGTATACTGGTGTTGTGCACTTGTTTGACTGAAGGCCAAACCTGGGGCTTTCAAAGCAGTGGGAAGAGCCTAGCCATGGTGGTATTTCTCCCAGTGCTGCGCTGATCACGTTTGGCTCCAATGTACAACTGCGCCTGGCAGCAAGGCACAGGCATGTCAGCAGGAGCAACAGCCCACGGGGCAGATCTGCCCACGCTAGTCACTGCCGGAGCTGGCCTCAATTGGCATGCCAATACCACATGCCTGTCCTGAGGGAAGTATTGCCTCAGTACAGCCTCGTGCTAAGATCAGTTTTGTAGCCAATAAGCAGTGCTTTGCTGTGCAGAGGCAGAGTTGAGGGCCAGCTTGCAGCTTGAGCCCCAATTCTGGGGCTTGGTAGAGCCACCAGGAACTTCTCTCTTGCGGGGTTCAGCCTTTTATCGATAAATGAACAAGCGATGAACAGAGCAGTGGATTAAGTATTTTAAATGCTGCTCAGTTCAGTATTACTGGGATTAGCAAGTTAGGTGGCTCTACCAAATAGCTCTGAGTGAGGTGGTCTACCCTACTCCATTCAGTTAACCGTGATGGTGGCAAGAATGTAAATGTGAACGCTTCAAGCTACTGTTAATTCTTTTAACAGAAACATCTTGCTACTGCAGTTATCCTGATGTTTGAGATAAAAAGCTAAATAAAAACATCTAGCCCATAGCTAGGCTATTCTCTGCCAAGATGGGATTGTTCCTTCCTGTGCATGTTCTAGATGCTTATTCAGTCTCTTAAATCTTTTTCTGGCACTGATGAAACTTCCATCACTGCTTCCAGAGGACTTCATGCCATTTTTATAGTATAAAATTCCTTTCAGGACAGTGATTTGTCCTACCATATTTTCCTCAATTGCACTTTTTAACTTCTGGGTTCTCCCTGAAACTTTTTCATGAGAAAAGTCGCGTGGAATTGGACCCAAAGTTTCAACTTGCTTCCTGTCCCTAAAGGTGGTCAACACTGAATGCCTAGGGAAGGGTATAAGGACAGAACCACCTTGTTATCATGCTCTCCTGGGACACTTGTCTGACTTTCAACTCTTTTTTGGCTCAGAGTCTTCCTGAGCTGGAGATGTTTTTTGTTTCTACTCGTCATTTGCCCAAACGACGTTAGCTAATCTATGATTCTAAAAGAAAATAGGTCTTTGAATTGCTGAATAATTGCATTTTATTCTTTTTCCACTGTTTGCGTTCTTGAAATGAGACACAACTGGATGCAAAATTTCATGTGTGCTTATGCCTGCCTGAGGGAATAATTACTGTCTCCTAGTTCTGTATTAATAACACTTATCACAGGATAGGCCTGGCAGGTTGCGATGTTTGCAAACAGCAAATTGATCATGAAACCATCCTGTCTGGGAAGCTCTATGTCCCAATTTGCAGTACAAACACTTTTTATGTGTTGAGAGTGAGATGCAAACTGAAAAGGTGCACTTAAAAATTCTGCCTTGTTATCAGGTTGGAGATGTTATGTAGGGTAGCATTAGATTTCACAATAAAATCCATCTATGCGTTTTGAGGGAGTGTTTGTTTTATTCAGAGGTTTCCATGGTAGAAGACAATTGAGTGCCTTAGATCAGTGTAGAACCAAAGTGCTCTTTTCTCTTACTAAGTTTTGATGACAGAAAAGCAAACCAGCCTTCCTGTACAACGAGGATTTCTTTTTCTTTTTTTGAGTTTTAATGTTAAGAAGTCCAGAATTTCTCAGACGCTTTCTTCATGACATTAATGCAATATTTATTTTCCAGAGTCCTAGTAGAGAAACTTACTCCTGTACTGAGCTGTCATTGCTGAAGTATCATTCATCTGTCTCTATGCATTTTTAGTCACAGAGGTTGTTGGTCCAAGATATAGGAGGACAGTGGGGATTCTCTATCAGGTGGCCTTCTCAGTTGGACTCCTTGTCTTTGATGCCGTTGCTTATGGAATTCCTCACTGGAGATGGCTGCACCTCACTGTTACTCTGCCAAGCTTCTTCCTCATGCTCTACTACTGGTAAATACGCTTTCATTATATCACCGTGCAAGACCAAAAAAGTGACCTCTTTTGGTCCCTGAGACTCGATTTCTTGAGGGAAATTTTGCATTGCTTTTTGGACACTTATGCCTGTTTAATGCAGAGAGGTGATAAATAGCAATAAGGAAAGGCAAATAGGACCCCTCAACATATGACACTTTTTTGCATCTTAGCCTGTACACCACGTCTGACATCCGCTTTAAAGGAAAGATTAGGTTTAAAATCACTGAAGAATGGCCTAATTTATTATCTTCGTTAAACATTTTAAAAAGGAAAAGAAACATCTCTGACATAATTTAGTGGATCCTATGTTGAAAAGATGGTTATTGAGAGATTGTTGAACGCTTACATAATTGTAGCGGGTTGTTTACATGTTCTTTCAAGAAAAACCTGCAGCTCTTTGGTCCAATCAAAAGAAGGTGCATGGGCACACCTGTATTTAGGGTTCTGTCTGTCTTTTTGATGAATATTTTTCAGCTTTTGAATGCTTTGGATACAAGATGTTGTTTTGCTGGACCAAGAGAAAAGGAATAATAGAAAGGGATTTATCTTCCTTTTTCAATTTTTGTGAATACTTTTTCTTGACCTGTGATAGTGCACCTGGAAAATGGTTCATTCCCTAAGAGGAGCTAGTTTGTGGTGGCCAGGCTAAAAAAATTGTTATATTGCTCTCACTCAAAGACCTTCCAGATTTATCTTTAACAAGCTCATCTTTGACTAAAGCCGCTACCATAATTGCTCCTTTTCCCTCTGCAGCAGCAGCAGTGGAATAAACTCTTGGGGGTAGGGGGAAGGGAGGTGGACAGCTGTCCATTCAACAAAAGTACTGTCTTAATAGTCTCCCTACATAGGAGCACTGCACAGGCATTAGCTTTCGGTATAATAGCATCCACTTGTTTGCATTGCAGGTGCCTCCCAGAGTCTCCCAGGTGGCTGATATCTCAAGGGAAAAATGACAAAGCTATGAAAATTGTCAGTGATATCGCCAAAAAAAATCAGAAGAAAATGCCTTCCCATCTTGAGGTGAGCTTGGAGTTTGCTTATGCATGTAAGCAAGCATTGTAACAATCCTCTCTTTTAATTCCTCTCAGCAGAAACTTACTGTTTCTGTGCCCTAGTCAGAGAGGTAGTAATCTCTATCATAATGATAAGGGAGAGGAGAAAGAGGAACTGTCTTGACTAAGCCAAAAATAGATATTTTTTCTCTGTAGAAACAAGTTAGGAAATATTTATTTGAAAGTAGGGAACAGCCTCAGCGAGGGAATTCTGTTGCAGTCCTGGCCTGCCACCCGCATTGTGTGGGTAAGAGCAGACAGCGTCTTCTGGGGCCGTTACGCACACTGAAGAGCTGTAGCGTGTGAACTTGTCTCCAGCTGCTTTCCCAAGGAGAGTGGAAGTCGTTCAGATCCTATGAATGTTGTTCTGACTTTTCTGCAGGATATTAAATTTGAAGAGGAAGATGGTGGAAAGCAGACCCCTTCACTCGTTGACCTTTTCAGGACACCACAGATGAGGAAAAATACATTCATTTTGATGTACAACTGGTAAAAAGCTAATGTTCAGATTTCTTTTTGGTTTTAAACAAAACTTTAAACCTGCTTGTTTTAGATTTTGCCTCAAGAGCTGGAGATATAGAAGGCCTCTGGTAGAAGAGGGATTTAGTCTTGTTTCAAGGAAATGCTGACCCGTTACACCAGAGGGTGGTGTTCTGGCTGGGATGCTTGCATTCATTTCAATAGCTTTGCCTTTATTGAAATGTGTGAAACCAACAGAGATGTCTGTTCTGAAAAAAAAATTTTTTCATCGGGAAAAAAGCATAAAAAGTACTCATTTTTTCTGAAGAAGCTTTCTATATTTCAGAGTAGTTTCCAAATCAAACAGTTAGGCACTGCAGGTACACAGTGATCATGCTGTGCCTAGAAAAGTGCTGTTCCCCACCCAGCAGCAGGGGGCAGAGAAATATTTAGGTGGTGTAAGTGCCCATTACCAGAAATGAATGTGGTGGGCTCTAGGGTAGCTTTTATTAGTGCAGGCTCAGTTACATCAGCCTTTGCCTGCAGCATCATGATTCCCACTGCACATCTTGACTACCCATCCTGTTCCACGGGTTCCCAGATTTCACACAGAAAGATTAAATTAATGCTGAAGTTGGGTCCACCAATGTGTGTGTGTGGTTTTTTTTTTTTTTTTTTTTTTCCCTCTCCTCTGGTTATGAACTCTCTAGCAGGAAGCGGTCCTCGGTCCTCTGACTGAATAACGAAGCTGGGACGCTCTGCTCTGCCTAGGTTCACAAGCGCCATCCTCTATCAGGGGCTCATCATGCACATGGGATTAGCTGGTGGGAACATGTATCTGGATTTTCTCTATTCTGCTCTTGTTGAGTTCCCAGCTGCCATCATCATCATCATCACGATTGACCGCATTGGGCGACGCTACCCATGGGCTGCAGCAAATCTGGTGGCTGGATTCGCCTGCCTTGTTACTGCCCTGATCCCAGAGGGTGAGTCATCAGAGGTTATGGTAGTTTCCCCATCCTAACGTTGCCTCTGGGGAGCAACGCCGGTCTATCTCCTCACACCGCAAAAGTGAAATAAGGTCAATTTGTAGCACTGCTAATAAAAAATCTGAAAGTATCTGGGTCCTCTATGCTGCTTTGGGAACCTTCCCACTCCACAGCTCATGTATGTGATACCAACTCTGTATTTCCTGATTCATACGAGTAAAATACAGCCTTTCGAAGAGAATCAGCAAATACGGGCTTTGATCCACTAACTGATTCCTGCTAAATCACTGGGATGTTGAATGTGCTTTCTTTGCAGACATACATTGGCTAAAAGTGATTGCCGCTTGTATTGGGCGAATGGGAATCACGATGGCTTTTGAAATGGTTTGCTTTGTAAACACTGAACTATATCCAACGTACATCAGGTAGGTGTACCTTCTCCCACCCAGCCATTTCACCTGGGAACAAATTGTTTAAGCCAATGTAAATGGTGTATTTTTTGCTAAATTATAACTAATTAAATCCCCAAGTGCTTCAGAACTGCACAGGTATTGTTCAACATGTGGGTGGAGCATGAGGAAAATGCATTAAAATGAAGGTTAATGGAGTAATTAAATATATTTTAAGGCAGGTGAAAACTGATGTAACTCGATTGAAGGGAGAAGTGGAGACAGTCCAGGTGGATGAGGGTTCTCAGGCCCCGCATAGTTGGATTTGGGCCTCATTTGAACCAAAGTAACCTTGAAATGGATCTATCCAGAGTCGATGCTGCTATGGAGAATGTGCGTTGGTAAAACCAATGGAAGCAGGTGACCTGAGGTTAGGTTTTCTCCACTGCCTGTTAGTGGGCTGCAGGGCAACCAGCTTAGAAGTAGATATGTGCACTGCAGATATCTAAAGCTTGAGAGATGTTAACTCTTCAAAATATGCTACTTCTTCCCAGAAGAAGTGATCATAGTGAGAGAGAACGAGATCATATGCCATTGTCTGCAGGGCAGATGTCTGTGCTGACCAGATGAATCTCACACCTCCTTTCTTCACTAGATAGGAATTGATTATATGTGAAGTTGCGCAGCATATGAAGTTACAAAGCTCTCTTAATCTCATTTCTTTATCCAAAATGAATGCAGTACAAGACAGTTTGAAGTGTTATTTAGGGTCCCAGTCCTGTGCATAGCAACAGAAAGATCTTCAGACACTTCTTGCCCTAGCAGCTGTCTAAAGTGTACAGAAGCTGCAGTTTTTACACTTTCACAAAATCTGTTTGGATGGAGATTCTGTTTAGATTCTCTGAGACTGATTCTCTATCTTTAACCCTGGGAATTTGCTCACACCTGTGAAAATACAGGTAAACTCTACCGTTCCTTTTTGTGAAGACTTGTATTCTTGCACTACATAGGTCTGAATTTGCTTACCAGTGGGGAAAATTGGGGTTTTTCTAACCATTTTGATCTTCTGTGTGGTCTGCAGACCTAGAGGCTGTGCTCTGCACAAGTTGAGAGCTGGTTCCTGTTCGTCTGCAGTACTCTTTCACACTAACATAATCCCTTTGCTGTTGGACCAGGAACCTCGGGGTAATGGTCTGCTCTGCCTTGTGTGATATTGGTGGAGTTGTCGCCCCCTTCGTTGTCTACAGGCTGGTGGAAGTGTGGCAGGAGTTGCCGCTGATAGTCTTCAGTAAGTGCTGCTGTGCCTCCTTGCAGGCTGCTTCTGGGGTACAGCAATGGGGCCCAAGTTATGAAGGGAGGAAAAAGCAGCTGAGGCAGTCACTCCAGATTCAGTGGAAGCATGTTCCCTTTTACAGAAGCCATAACCTTCAAGTTTACAGTAACTTGGAAGTTGTTTATGCACTCATCTCCTTTGCTGTTGTTATTGTTCCTCGTATCTTTAAAGAAAGATAGAGATGAATATGGATTTGACAAATGGCGAAGAGCTGAGAAACGTTCTGGTGTTTTGATCAGGTTAATATTTATGACAGATTTACATCTGATGAATTACTGTTCTCAGTCCTGGAACAAAAATCGGGAGTTTCATATAATTCCTTTTTTATTTAATGATACGTTAAGCCACAGGCATGGCTGCTCCACTTCAGCTTTTTGAACAGTCTGTCTGTTAACTGGCTATTCTCCACCTATTTGGAATGAGATTGGTGTTTGTCTAGCCGCCTGAACTTTCAGGTCAGGGTCTGCAAAACTTCTCTAAATCTTCAGATAAGCACACAGTACGCTATTTATAGAAAAATGTCTTGAATGGCAATATATAATTTTTAACTGAGGGCACATTTACGAAGGTGCATAGTAGACTTAAAATATACAGAAACCAGAAAAGCGTGTGCAAAGTGGGTGACAGAAATCCTCCCTGGAGGAGTTAATTACATTATATAAGAGTCAACACATTGCGTTTTCTAGATCTTGTAACATAACAGAAAATTCAAATCAGTTTTCTGGCATACATTCAGACTAAAAAGTTTTTTTTTTTTTTTTTATACCTGTCTTTCCAGTCTCAGAGACTGTTCAATACATAACTCGCAGTGGTAGTTTGCTGCAGTCTCCACAAAGCTGTCACACCCTCTGGAGATAGCCTGGTAATCTTGCATATGAAGTCTTGATTTGCACATCTTGTCTGGAGAACAAAATAAAATCCCATTTAGAGTCCTTTGTGCAAGGCAGCAGAAAGATGGTGTACATGCTACAGAGTAGTATATGCTAATAAAGTTTTTGCATCTGTTTGATTTGAAGGTGTTGTTGGTGTAATTGCGGGTGGATTGGTGTTGTTTCTGCCTGAAACTAAAGGAAGAGTTCTGCCTGAGACAGTTGAGGATGTTGAAAACTTGCACAGGTGGGTCCAGGGGGTGAGCTCTCACTGGCCTGCTATTAGTCTTATATTAGAAGCTATACTGTATTGCTATACATAAAAATGGGGGGGGGGGGTGGCAACCCAACCAAGCAACCCCCTAAAGTGGTTGCTATTAAAATTTTCCTGCACTTTGTGATGCTTCCATCAGTTCACTTTCAGACACTTAAAGCGAAATAACTTGTGACCAAGCCAAGCTATAAGTGGTAGGATACAATGATGGCCCGTTACCCTTGCATTTCAGTTGTAACAAATATTCAGACTATATCTATGTCAAATTCTTGATATCCTGAGTGCATTCATCTCTTCTTTCAGGTGTTTTTCCTTTGTAGTACATAAAAGGGAGCAGAGATGGTCATTTTATTCTGCAAATGTCAAAGTGCTACTTTGAATCCATCTTCCTGTTTATGCTGAGATGCAGGATGTTGCCTCAAACACCAGCAGAGCTTGAAACGTTTTTTTTTTTTTTTTAAAAAAAAAGCCCTAAGCTTTATTAGCACATAAGCAGAAGGTGGTAACCTATGATACAAAGAATGGTAAACTGAAGAGGCTGGTGAGGAAATCCCTCCCACCCACTGTATCCTAGCAGGTACCTCCTGTTCTCAGTCAAACAGCTCTCCGTGGGCTGCAGCAAATGCTTTGGGCTGCCTCGGGCCCCAGGGAAGTCTTGTCTCCCCTCACCCCTCGCTGCCTGCTCCTTCCCAGAGCTTCCTCACTTGTGCTTGCTGTGTCCCTGCTCTCCCTCCCTGCATACTCACTGACCCCACACAGCACTCAGGGGTATGGCACTGTCTCACCCCCTGGGTTTTGCCAGGGCATGCAGGCAGCTGCTGAGAGGCACATGTGATGCGCAGCAGCAGTGCGTGGAGCAACCAGGCACCACCTGCTTCAAACGCAGAAATGCTGGTGGGAAGCAATTTGTGTAGAGAGAAGTGGAAGCACCTTCAGATGGCTGCTGTGTTGAGCTGGTTTGCATCTGCCCCTCTTCCCCTGCCACTGGTAGTGGGGGTGAGTGATGGGAAAGGCTGTTGGACACTGTCCTGACCCCAAAATACAGGCAAACATAGTGGAGCCTGGGTTAAAGCTTCAGGAAAGGTGTCATCTTTTCAGCCCCACTAGTGATAGCCGAGAGAAGTGATCTGTGACTCAGATGTGCATGCTGTGCATCTGTGTGCCACAAACCCTGCAGAGCAGTAGTATGGACGCAGGCCGGCTGCCTGCAGGTCTACAGTCATTTAGCCAGGCACGGAAGTAAGTGTCGCAAACATGGCACCCACTTCTGCACAGGATAAACACGTTTGTGCAGGGTGGTGACATTAAATTTGGTTGCTGGATCTCTACTGCTTTTACAATCCCAATTCTGATCTCTACTACATGGTGCATATATTCTCTTAGTAGCTATCACTTCAAATTTGGACAATTCATGCCAAAAGCTGTTTGGGGTAGCCCGGGGGTTGCTTAGCCACCTCCTGTGCTTCCACAAAGTTGCTTGCTAGTTCCCAGACTCTAGTTTGAGGAATTTTGGATGCAGTTTTTCCCACTCTTCTCCCTAGGTATCTGAAAACAAGCAGTATAGGCCTATAGTGACCTGTGAATAACTGCACTAGCCTCTCAAACCTGCTGCAACCCTATTATAACTACAATTAGTGCTTTAAAAAAAGTCTTGTGGAACAGAAAAAAGGCAATCTTGATACCAGCTACTCTTATGATGAGGTAAATCACCAATACCTACTGAAGAGCCAGAGCAAACCTAGCAGCTTTGAGGATTAACTGCTCATTTTCTTTGGGCAAGAAGCCAGAACGAGTGATGAATTTACAGGCAGGTGCTCACTGAATGCATTCTTTCCCAATTTACTGTTCATGTCATGTTGTTCTTGCAGGCAAGGAGCTCCAAAGGAGAAACAGATCTATCTTCACGTCCAAACATCAGAAGTAGCACATGACTGAAGAATGCAGACCTCTTTCTAGGTAGTCTACTTTAGAGCATGAGCGTGGAAAAGCGAATTTAAATAAATACTCTCTTCTGTCTTCTTTTCTTGTCCCTCTATCCTTTATTTAGAATGCTTGGGTTTTTCTGATGAGGTTGTCCCTAGTAATGCATAGTTTTGTCCATCTCTGCACATTATACTATAAATATAGTTTAGGGTTGGAAAAACCTCTTTCATACTAGCTGTGTGGACCTGAACACAAGAGCTGCTCTTAACTTTGGCATAGTGGGGTCTATCCCACCAGAACTTCCAAGTCTCCATGAAGCCTTTCTTTGTTCAATCTTATGCAAGAGTAGCACAGTGTAACAGATTTTCCTCTGTTGTGGAACCCAGGTGACAACAACCCACCTGCAAACTTGTTACAACGTGCAACAAATTCTCACAGATTGTTTTTACTAGCACTTAAATGTCATGGAGGTCACATATGTTCATGTGCCTTTGGTGGAACCCACATGAGGCACTTAGCTGGCTGTCCCTCAGCTCACAGGGATGGGCATAGGGCAACCCAGAGCGTGAAAAGGGAGAAAGATGAAAATAGGAGAAAGACGCATGGTCCTTCATAAGGTAATGACCTTTCTAGCGTGTAACCACTAAATATTCTTGTCCTGTTAGTGTCATCTTCATGGTGGGCAGCCTACACTGTTACTGTGCATGGCGCTGTTTGCTTAAACTTCCATAGTGTTATAACCACGTGTGCACGTACAAGCACACAGCATTTGCTGGAAGAGTAGTTTGAAACTCCTATTAGCTAAAAAGAATGGGAGCTGTCAAGGTTTATAGGTAGGGAGCTGAGGACTGCCAGATCCTGCTCTGCTGGAGGATTAGGATAGGGCTGGTGCAGGGCAGAGTCATATCTCTGTGTGTGTTTGGAGGGGACAGTCCTGCTCTTCCCTCGGGGGCTGGTGCCGGGCTGCGGCACTTCAGGACTTCTCAGCTGAGATTGGACTGAGTCCTCCTCCCCAGGGAGCATTAAGTTTAAGGTCTGGTCTGCCAGGGATGTACGTATCCAGCACCAGCTCTGTTTATCTCCAGTGAGAGAACTTTAGCCTGTGTAGTTACAGAACTAGTACTCGCTTCAGGGCCAGAGAGGAACGATCTGGTCTTGAAATTGGCAAGGGGGCAGTGGGGATGCAATTAGCTGTGTCCTGTCAAGTTGGTGTCCTGCCGTAATTGCTGATGGCTCAGCTCTGCACCAAAAACAAAGGCTGTTTTTATTCTAGTTGATTCAAAATGTAAGCATGTTTTGAAAAATTTTAGGGGAAGAAGGGGGAGACAACAATGTCAAGGAAAGAAAATAGCAGAATGAATAAATGAGTAACTATAGAAACTGACTCTCAAAACCCTTAAGCGTTGTGCAAGTTGCTTTCCATAAGTACCTCTAGCGCTGCAGAGGGAATTGCAGAGGCAGCAGGCTCAGGCATATCTCGGCGTCTGCGGTCACCTCTTGGTTACAATGTCATTTGCTCCTGCTGGCACCTTGATGAACATGAAGGTAACTGTGCTTTCTTGATTTCCTTGCTGGCTGCCTCATCAATTCATATATTTCTTCTTGGAATTAGGAAAGTCAGTAGAGCATGTCAAATCTGGTCTGGCTGCACGTGGTTGCTCTTCAAATGCCAAAGGAGCCTTTTGCGGCCTGGGGGCAGGAGAGGATGGCAGGCTGTGGGTCTCCACCCATCCGGGCTATGAGACAAGTTGCCTAACATCCTGCCTTAGATAAAACAGTGGTTAACCAGCTTTCCTTCTCCTTGGCAGCAGCTGAAGCCCATCTTATGGGACTGTGGCAGTAGCACTGGGGCATGACCAGCTCAGTGGTGTGCCAGACCCTGGCGCTGGCAGCCCAGGCACTGTGGGTCAGAAACTAGCCTGGACAAGCTGGGGAGCACCTGAACAGAGCTGCGTCCAAATTAATGAAAAGGAGACTGGATTTTTATGAAGATTTGGCCTTTTAAGAAGACTCTGGCTCTAGCCCAGCTGTTTAAAGTTAGGGTAAGGATCATCCCTGAAAAGAATATATCATCTTTCAGGGTACCTTCCAGCCTCCAGTAACTGGGTTTTGGAAAAGTTTGTTCTTTACTTTGTAACTGTGAGATGCAAAGGTTCTTGTTTTCTCCCCAGTAGCTCCCTTCAGCCTAACTGCAGCTGTGGTCCAGGGCAAGAGTTTCTAAGTGCTGTTTCTATCCTTGGTTGTTGCTGTCAGCACCAACATTCAGACACCACTATGCCAGCACAGCTAGTATTTGGTAGTTCTGTTGCTAGTTTTATCCCATTAAACACAACTACAGGCTTGATAGAGTATCAGACACTCATCAAGGTTTAGTGTCTGCAAAGTATGACCTTAACATGATCATTTTGTCAAGGCACTCTTGTGTGTCTGTGCCCATGGCAGGGCATGAGCAGAAAATCACATCCTCCGCACATCTTCTGTTACACAGCTTCTATGATTTCCAGTTCTTCTTCTACTGTGTCATCAAAACGTTTATGTACTAGATTTTACTTGCAATATGTTCCAGTCCTGTTCCTACCGTATGGCACTGAATCAACCTATGTTCAGTAAATTTTCCTCGTGTTCAATCCTGTGCCATACTACCATCCCTTCTGGCCAGGCCAGGTCCTGCAAAGCCCCCAGACTGTACAGGAGCAGAAGGCTCAGGAGTCTCTGGACCCATGCCAGCTCTGGGAGGGATTTAGTGCTTCCACTACCCATTTGGACTTAGAGAGGCCTCTTTTAATTGGTCTCTTTCCAATTTGTCCCTTTCCCATTCCTACTCCAACTTTTTCTCCTAATCCTGTCATCTCCAACCTGTTCTGCTCCCTTCCTGCTTGAGCAGGGAGGCTGGACTAGGTGATCTCCAGAGGTCCCTTCCAACCTAAATGATTCTGTGATTCCCTGCTCCCAGTCGCTTAGTCTAATAGTTTTTTGACTCCTGCTTCTGAATTACCTACTCTAACCTCATTAGTTTGGTAGCACATCCACCTCACTTCCAAGGCCTTACTATCCAGAGACCTTCAAGCAGCTCCCTGTACTCACACTTTCTCTTCCCCCAAAGCAGCAGGAACATGGGAAATGCCCTACTGGATCAGCACCAGGACCCCTCTAGCTGTGGCTATCTGCCTGGCAACAGCCCTCAGAGGTAGCAGTGGGACCAGCCACCTGCCCTGAACCACTGCCCTTGTATTCACAGGGATTAGGCATGCCAGTGGGCACAATCCTACCTATTCCCTTTAGTATCTGTTTATGGATCCATTATCCATGAGTTCATCAAATCCTTTCTTGAACCCACTGTTACTTCCTGCCCCCACTGGGCTCCTGAGGCAGTCCTGCTCCTCCTTGGCCACTGCCTCCCCTCCTTACGGGCTCCTCTCCTGCCCTCCTGCTCCCTCCTCTCCTCTCCCTACAACATGCTCCTTGCTCTAGTACTCCCAGGCTGCCTGCTTCTTTTTCTCCAAATCCCTTTCCTTTGCCTCAGCCCAACCTTCTTCCTGCTCACGGTCCTCTGGTGGCCTTGAGTTCTGTGTTCACTGTCTCAGGTTGTTTCTCCCCCTCAGAATCAGTTCTCGACATCTTTTGATGAACCATCTTTCTTCCATGACAGCCTGGTGGCCATTCAGCACCCCAGAAGGACAAGTGTCCTCCTCTCTCTTTTGATGTTTGAAGCTGGTATGGCCTGGAGCAGCCGAGAGTGGCGACTGGCAGAAACGATCTCCTCAGTGCTGCTGTGTGGCCCATGCACGTGGCCCTAAAGAAATTCAGCTCCCAGAATACAGGTCATCCCTGAGCAAATGGATGCTGCACGCTTTCAGGGGATTGTGTTATGCCTGTACTTGAGTAATTTTTAATGGCAGCAGCCACATCACTTCCTAGGGCAACCCCTACTGAAAGTCATGCCCCGGGCTGAAGCATGGAAGAGCAAAGTGCTAGCGAGAAGCAGCTAGTATCACTGCCCAGAGCAAATGTAAGGCTAGGCTGTGTTACCAGCTACCTGAACAATGTTTCAGGGACCAGATGGACAATGAGCTGATCACAGAGGCATCTGAATAGCTTCTGGCGTCATCCTGCCTGCCTTCTTGTTCTTTCTCCTTTTCCCCCCACACGCAAGTTTTTACTAAGCCAAATGTCTTCTGGCTACACGTTAGCTGCTATAAGTCTGAGCAGATCCCTCAGTGCCCATGAAGTTATACCCTAACTGTGGGAATTCCTCTGCAGTTCATAAATTGTGTCAAAAAGAGAAAGTACTGAAACCACAGACTGCTTTCCTGTAATGTTTCTCAAAATTTAAGAATGCGCCTCAGCCAACTTTATCCCTTTTGGGTATGAGTGTCTCTGAAAACATTAGTGGTCTTTTTATTTGCACAGATGCATGAAAAACATGAGAATTAGTCTGTAAGCACTCTCAGACATGCTGAGCACAACTCAGCTGGTAACCATTCACAGTTAAGCTGGGACAGGTAAGTTTTAGGTAGGGAGGCATGACTGGCTGGTCTGTTCCCTGGCTTTTCTTTGCACAGTTGTGACAGCAAGCTTAAGAGTGGCAGCAGGGCTGCAGTGGTACCTGTGCCCAGCCGTGCACCTCACTGATCCAGATCCCGATTCCAATTTGCCAGAATGCTTTCCCATCTTCACCTCCCGCTGCCCTGTCTCCAGGGACTTGTCGGTGATTGCTGGCAGCGGCCAACCCTGGTGGTTGTCACCCCGCCTACCTGGCTTGGGTGCTGTGAGGCTGCACCCCTTGGCCCTGCAGTGCCCTGACAGGTTGTCTGCTTTCTGCTGGGGCACCTTCCTGCAGAAAGGCTCTGCGCTGCATGAGGTCAGGAATGCAAAAGCCACCTTCACCTTGCTGATATTGCCCTGTCTGTGGCAACTGCTCCAGCTGTGACTGGGAAGACTCAGTTAGACATGAAAGCAGTCTCTCAGGGTACATGCTGCTGTACTGAACAGCCCGTCACTGGGTCACTGCTTTCCAAATTACACGTGAAGCAGACCTCCACTCCTTCCCTCTCTGCTATTTTTGGCTCCGACGTATTTGTGGATCTTCATTAGACCATGTAGTCAAGTTTCATACCAGTTGTTGAAACTGTAGTTGTTACTCTGTATTTTATTCCATGTCACTCGGTCTCCCAGCAAATGGCAATGTTTTCTCAGGAAGATCATCTCACATGACTGAAGACAGGGTCACTTCAAATCAGCTATATGTATCCCTAGACAAACTACTCTCCGCAACTTTTTTGCAACAAACCCTCTTTCATTCTTATGCCAACCCACCACTTACGGACACTCCACGTCTAGAGTGTACGAGATTCTCAGTTACGTGAACATAAAGGTCCCGGGTTCCAGACGCTATTGCATTCCTCCTCCTCCTCCTCTTGCTTCCTCCTGCAGGTTGTTGGAAGTGCTCTGGGCAGGTTGCCCAAGCAGCTGTTTTCCACCTCTGTAATGTGCATTTTATACACAGAAAACTCCGCTGTCAGGGCAACGCATGAGCCACCGGCTCCTTCCCTGCGTTCATAGCCTTGAGTCGACCTCTTGCCATCTCTCCTTTTTGCTGTCTTTTTGCACTTTTTGCAGTGCTGATGCTTTTCTATCACCTCCCTCGTCAGGTTGCCCTGTCTCTGCCAGTATAGCTGTGCCTCGGCTTCACAGCTCTCTGCTTTCTTGGCTGCATTTAAAAACCACCTGGCGCAAGACCAGTTGTGCTCACCTTGTGCAGGAGCTGCCTCTCTAACTGCTAATTAATTTTAAATTACATTTCTGCTATTTGACAGATGAACTTTTTCTGTCGTAGGCATTTCCAAGGCGCAAACTGGGACTCTCCTGTGTATGATAGCCTCAAATGAATAAATAGAAACACCTGGTGTTTTTGGCTAAAAGTATTATTAACAGAAGATGATGCACTTACGTGAGAAATGTTGGACACAGCTCAGGATTTACAAACAACAAAGACTTGAGACTTTGCTAAGTTCCCATCGCAGAAAGGAGAGGGTGATGATCCAAAGTAATTATTTATTGCAGTAGTCCAGTGCATTTACCAAAAGCTCATGCAAAATGTCATTTCCTGCTTGCAATAAAAGAAAACAGAAGACTGCTACTTTTTTTTTGGTAATTAGAATCTGGTTTTTTGCAAGATACTCTGTACTTTTGCACAGTAGTCAGTACCCTGTGGCCTCCAGGTCTCTCTCTCTCTCTCTCTTGCAGCATGTGCTTTCACACCTGCAGGCTCAAATGACTTTGCAAATAAATGAATATCCCAGCAGTGCACTTACGGTCAGACTCCCAGAAATCCTGGAGGCCACAGGATTTGTTAATCCCAAACTAACCTTGTCGGGCAGCTTCAGCTGTTTCAGCTATTACTGTACACAGAGCATTGAGTTTCTCCCACATTTAGCTAACATGGGCTGCATTAAACCCCTGATAGCGCCTTGCTGACTGATGGCTGCTGTTAACCCTTGGGCAGGCAGCAGCACCTTCCCTGTTGCTTCCCATCTATGGTGCCAGACCCACACCCCTGCGCCGTCCCTCCCCATGCCCCTACGTGCACAGCAGCATCCCTGGGTGCAGATCCTGGGATTCCCAGCTGAGTTCTCCCCTGCAAAGCACAATGGACCCTTGTATAACTCCTGCAATCCCCAGTTGCTTGGTCAAAATGAACACTATCCCTTTCTTTGCCTGGGGCATTTGTCCCTTATATTCAGTGGTTTTGTTCTTGTCCCCCTATGAACTGATAGTTGTTTGGTGCTGTGGTGGTTTCAGTGTAATCGTATTCCATAAAGAAAAAGGTTGGGAAAGATGTTTTACTCAGTGGCCCTTAAGGGACACATTTCTTAGAAACCATGGCCATGGAGAGCATGCTCAGCTTTATAAAAGCCAACTGTCTGTTGCTGTGGTTGCCAAACGTCTCATGTTTATGGCAGCAGCACTGTTGATGTGTACAGACAGAAAGCACTTACTATACCTAGATGCTGTTTAAGTGTGTGTCCATACATTTTTTTTCTTTTTGGAATCAGAAAATATGAAGATTTTGGGATGCAAACCCTGAAATGTGCATTCAAATCCAAATTCTAAGCCAGACAAAAATCACAGACTTATCATGCCTTCTGTTCTAGTACCCACTGCCTTGCCATCTAATTTGATGTCATTTTGAAAATTTAGTTCACCCACCTTTTTCAGACCCCCTCATTAGATGATACAAATGATGGTAGTGGGTCAGTTCATTCATCAGGAGATCTGAATGACTCACTGTCTGGGACTAATGCTGTGACAAGGCAAGCACCACCTGCCATCACACAGACCACAGGTAGTGAGGACCAATGCGACCCACTGTTGATATGAGGAGGAAAACAGCTGAGAACTCAACAAGAACAGAATAGAAGAAATCAGATAGACTGGAAGCTATTCCTGTGGGCATGATGAGCCCCTGGTGCAGGACAGACGTGGTAAACCTAGGCAGAGAACAGAGAGTAAATTAAACCAGACTTTTTGGGAGGGAGTTTCTACAAAGAACAGAAATTTGCAGCTGGTCAGGAGCAAACCAGACCTAAATCAGTAATGACAATTTAGGGCCTTGAATGAAACATCCTCTGTTTGGGGTACAATAACCTTCCCTTACCAAGTGTGCATCAAAATGAACATGTGTTTTCTTATCTGAGGTGTCCTGACCAGATCTAGAAATGAAGGTCTGAGCTTTTCTCCATTTTTTATCTTCAGAGTTTAGACTCTAGAAGCGTAAGTGATGGTGGGACAGGAGATTAGAGTTGGTGAGCTCTGCAGTAAATATTTTCCTATGGATTAACTGGAGGATCAGGTTTTCATTTGCCAGTTAAGAAAACGATGAGAAAATAACTTCTCCAAAGTGTTTTCAGAAGAGGAAACATGACCACTTATTTAGACAGTCCTCATATCTGTGCGGACGTGTGTGTGAGGCTGTTCCATGACACGAAGCGACACCTTAACAAATAATAAATAAAGATGCCTTGGAATTTTCAGTAATGAGATTTTGGTGGGTTTACTGTTGATTGATACTCCTTAAAGGAAGAATCTACCCATCCTATCTGCTGGACAGTTTTGCTAGCCTTTTTCCAAATATACTCTGCTAGGATCCTAGGTAGTTGAAGAGAAGAAAACTCACTGGCCTTAACTTTACAGGATTGTACTGCTTTTAGTCACTAAGCTGCTTCATACTCTAAGTATATAGTACTGTATATTGCAGCTAGTCCCTTGATCTTAGGTGATTCAGACTAAAACACTGGGCAGTGTGAATGGAACAACAGAAAAATGCCAGATTGGATCAGACGCCATCTTTAAAATCCTATGCATAGCACTAAGTCCAATCTCTTTAAAGACGCTTACACTCCCAATTACAATCCCCTGACTTTATCTGTTGGGCTTTGCTTTGCTGGGATCTGTAACCCAGGTGTGCATACTGGTAGTAGAGCAGGAAGAAGAAATTTGGCAGAATGACAGTGAGTTCAAGCCACCTGCACATAAGCCACAGCAGCAAGGACGAGGAGTCCCATACTAAAGGCTAGCTGGTGAACGATTCCCATGTTCTTCCAATAGTTTAAGTCAAGGAATCTGCAACTGCAAAGAGAAGTCTTATGAGGCACAATTCAAAAACTAAATTGGCTTGGTGAGTGGGGAAACTTTAGCTCCCACCAGCTAAAATAACGTGAAGCCCCCGGGTTTAGCCAGGCTCTTGCAGCACGGTGTACATCTGGCAATTTGAACTGGAAACCAGAGTATGGCTGAAGCAGGGGCTGTGGACTTGCCATAGGACCCGATCCGTATCCTTGTTACGTGCCAGCCTGTGTCGTACTTCTAGGAAATGCTTCTGCTTTGATGTGAATCAAGGGGAGTGCAGTCATGGCCATGTGGTGGAGTTGATGATGTTAAAATACCACGATGTAAATAATAGGAAAAGCCCTGACTCTTCCTCCTCCAGAAGTCAGCTGAGGACTTCCCCCTTGCCCTCAAGGGTGTCAGGCCCTCACTCATCAGCATGGGACAAACATTGCTTTCTTCCTCACTCCTTCTAGCTAAGAGCTAAGTAGGAAAAGAAAATAGACTGTGGGCACTTATTTGCCTCCACCACCTTCCTCCTATAAGCTTTGGAAATAGAGCTTTCCACCCACAAGTGATGTGAAACAAAACAGCAAAAATCAATTTGGCTCAAAGTCTGTGAAATACAAGTGTTATCTTTTACAGCATGACTTGCTACCTTTCCTGGAAAAGTTTCATATACTTTCGCAGCATTTTCAGTTAATTCCTATCTCTGGACTTTCTTAATTTTAGCTTGTGACCATTCAGCTATGAACACTCCCTAGTTTTTAGAGCTGCCTCCTGATTTTTCCAGCTATGTGTCCAAGCAGATGAGAGCTCTCAGATAACAAGATTTAGGCTTTTTACCAAAGTCTGTAGGCCTGTAACCCCTCAGACAGCTCAGAAAAGGAAACACAGTTTGGGACACAAACATCAGCTTTTAAGCATAAAGGAACAGTTTGGCAATAAGTATCACAATGTCACTGCCTGCTCTTGTTGCATACAGATTCTTAAAGCTTGGATAGGACTAGCTGGGGTCAGCCCGCCTCTAAACCAATAAGTTTCGATCCAGAAACCGTAATTGCAAGCCACCTTAACTCAGGATATAGCATGTCAGCCAGCTCCCCTTGCTGACCATTCCTTGTACGAGGTGAGAGATCACCATCCAAGTGTAGCTCAGTGCAAAGGCGGTGAGAATGCCAGAGACTGAGCTGATGAGGATGATAATTAGCAGGCTGAATTTATGGCCAAACCTGCAGAGGGAAGAGAAAAAAAGGAAAAAGGCTTAGGTGATAACTGTGCAAAATCTTAGCTGAATGTCAGACTCTGCAATAGAGGCTTGTGCTGGCTGCTGTTCCTTATGAGTTACCTAGCATAAAATAACGGTTGTTTTCTTTCAGATTTGGTCCCAAGAGGTTTCTCAGATGCATGCAAGTTAAAGCTTTATTAGCACCTGAAGAGTGATCTGAAGAGTGAATTACTGATACCCAGCGATGTTTTTAAGGAACCACCCTCCCCCTCCCAAGGCACTTCTGTGGCTTTTTTCTGTCGCATTCACTCTCTTTTGGACTACCTTTTCACACAGTGTGGCCCTTCTCCGTGGCACAGACCTGTGGAGACAGGCAACATCCAAGCTGCCACGTTGTTTTGTTACAAATGCAGTTTCTGTAGCAGCGCTTACAATGTGGTATCAACCACCTGTGTTCGCAGTGGCCAGGAACTGGCTGTCAAAAGCAAGAGTCAGCAGAAGGGACAGCTTTCTGCTGTGATATGGTCAAAAAGTAGGTGACGCCACAAGAGGGCCTCACCACCATTTCCGAGCTCCAGTAACTGCTCCTGTGCTTGGCAAAGGGCTTGAAGGGGCTGGAGATTGTCCCTTTCCCCCTTTTCTCTGCTTTTTTGAATAGAAGTCTGTATCTGCTCCTCCCTTCAGAGCATTTTCCATCTCGATGCAGGCTCAGGGGACTCCCTTGCCCTGTGTTTTCAGATTATCACTCACTTTTGGTTATCAGCTTAGCTAACGAGTTCAAGAAATAGTCTGATGTTGCTCTTCAACTCACCTTTCAAAGCTACAATAGCTTTTTACTTGGATCTTGTTTAATAAAGGTCATCTTTACCCATTTACTCATGAACATTTGCTGTCTACGGAACTCTTATCGAAGTGGGTCTTGTGCATCCCTGCTATTTGTCATTCCCTGCATTACTGTGACTCACTGACGGTCAGAAATAAATTGTTTCCAAAAGAAACAAGCTTAGTGGAATGCTGGAAAGGCATTTGTTTTCTATCTGCCAAAAATATATATTCAGTTAGTAGTTTGATTTGTCATAACCATTAAATTAGTCATTGTCCACTAACAAAAACAGAGTGTTAATAAATGCCAGCCAAAATAAATGTCTTCTCTTCTTCACAATAACATCAGCAAATCAGAACACTCAAACTTTCCTTCTTTCATTACCCTGAATAGACAGACATTCTTTGACTCTATCCTAAAGGCCATCCCCAGACAGCCTTATCAGACTGATA